CCTATCCATTAAAAGTACCGTAATTCAACATAACACCCAATTTACATGGGTAAAAATGCTTGTAATTTCATTACATATTGTTAGTGAAAATATGATGGGTGTGAGTAGGCATAGGTACCTATAAATAAACAATTAGAATAAATATTACTATAATTTTATTTTAATTCAATAAATTATCTTATAATAGGGATATTATTTACCGGCTAATACAGGTAAAATAGTTCTGGACCTTTAAATAAAACATCTGTCTGATAGAAATTGTTCGTTTCCCTCAGCTTTATTTAGGGAAAAATTTTCTTGTTAGTTATCCTCTCCTGTGTAAGCAATGAGGGGTCGTACATTTTTTATGTTACAATTTTCTTTATCTCTATTGTTTTATATTTGCTTCTAATTATTAATTTGCATTTATTCATGAATTGTTATATGCCAAGTCATTGTCTATGGAGATTGGAGACAAAGATAATTTTATATGAATGTGTGTGCACTGATGAAGTTTTCAATTGAACTGAAGGCACGGTTTGTGTGTGGATGTTTGTTGTGTGAGTGTAGAGTGTAGAGAGTGGTGACTCATGTGTGACTGATGGTGTGATATGCAGACCCACAGCTAGACAGGTGTGCTGTGCATCGAACCAGCTGCTTCCTGCCTGTCACTGTTATGTAACACAAGCATTGTCAGCTGTTTTTTAACAATCTTTAACATATTGTCTAGTTCATATTCACTTCCAAAGAAGTAAATATAGACATTAAATAAACGGTATCAGCAAACCGACATTTACTTTCTCTCATTAGCTTAACAACTCTTATAATGGGTAAGCGGGTAAGCGGTGGGAGTAACTGATATTTATAATATGAGTAATGACAAAAATTGCTATAAATTTTTACCCGTAATTTTTACAGCATTGGGGGTTATGCCATTTTGTTTAGAGTTTAAAGGACCATTACATACTGAATTTGAATGAAAATCGTTCAAGCCTTTTTTATGTAAATAAGGTTTTCTGTTATATGATGGTTTTTTTTAAAATTACTATTAATTAGAAATAAAATTATCAAAAAAATGTAAAAAACCGCCTAGAGATACCATGGATTTGTTACCACATACAACATTTCGTCAAAATCAAGCCACAGGTATAGTCTGTAGCTCTGTACACTAACACACACACACACAGACAGAGGGACATATCTTTGAAAACGGCTTTTTTGGGTTCCAGGGGATTCAAAACATATCTTCCACCCAAAACTAGATCTAAAATTTTGTTTCAAAAGACAATACTTTCTTCATAGGAGGCCCTAGTGGAAAGGCACAGGGCCTTGCGCTTGGTGCAAAATACATACAAATTCTCAAAAATTCTGTGAATTTTACATCAATTGTAAAAAAGAATACCCCTGCTGCAGCAAACCTGCAGACTAAGCCAATTTCCATTTGCCTGAATTGATATACAACTTTATGTATAAAATCTACAATGTAAACTAACTTTTGTTGAATTCTTTTTAAATGACACTTTCAACATTTTTATACTGGCATTACTCTTGTTTCTTAGTAATTTTGCAAACCGATGTTGGCTATTTAAATTCAAAGTGAAAATTAGAAGCGAGTAAGAATGTAAACAACAACACCGCCATTACAGAACGGTACTGTGCAAATAGGAAGTTGTATTGATATTGTTTACCTATAACTGATAGCTACTGATAATAAATGTGATGCAAAACAAATTTTAACAAATATATCAGTATGGTAGCGTAATTTGTATTCAGTTTATTGAAATTCAAAGTTGATTTATTGGTTCATCATAGTGTGTATCGAAATACTTCAAAAATTTTATAGCCAAAGACGTAAAAGAAGAATAAATCTATGGGCCTACTGTCGTATATTTATTAAAAAGTGTATGTGTGTTAAGAATATTGATTAATTGATTTCAATCATATTATGCACGTGGCTTCCTTGAACATGAAGCACAAGGGTACTAATAGTTGATAGTTTTAAACTAAAATCACTCTATATATGGTTTAGTATAATATTTGTAAAAAAAATCATCAAAAATCCACAGCCATATTTATTTTGTGTAGGTAGGTCACATTTTAGCCTATCTAGTTGATAGAATTCATTTCATTTGGTCTTGTGAAATTCTTGCGCTTCTGTTTACAAAACCGAGTGTTGGAACTATTTATAACCTGTTGTTATCGGTTGGCAAAGAAGAGGCTGTTGGTTTGATAAGAGAATGTTTGACTGAGTCACTGAATATAATAGTTCTTGGAATATTGACCTCATATGGTATCATTAAATTGAAGTATTACGTCAGTATCAGTGATAGACTCAATGCTTAATATTCCATAAAAGCAAATAACACTGTAATTGATTTTTTTCATTTCTTGTTGTGAAGTAAGAATTTACTTGTTGACAAAAGTTTATTGAAACCTCAAAAGCCGACCAGTGTTTTTAGCCTAGGCCTACCAATAATATTCCTGATTATTGGTTTATTTCTTTTTTTAGCGAATTTCCCATATAGTAAATAAGCTAATAAATACCGTAGTACTCATGGTTTGTTTTGAGGTCCTTAGAGCCCAAAAACACCATCAGTTTGAATTCATATAATATATATATGTATATAAATGTCCGTTAGCACGATGACTTGAGCAAAAATGATCCGATTTTGATTAAATTTGGTACCGTACAAACATGTAAACCTACATTTATTCAAATGAGTTAGCGAACCAGCATGATCGGACTATGGCAACGGGGGTTTATGGGATGTTTTACGTGGTAAAAATTGGGTTTTCCCATTTTTGACACTAAAAACAACAAATTATGCCATTTCTTTCCAAACCATTTTGTAGAGCTAAAAAAAAAAAAACAAATAATTTAGTATATTGAAGCGTTGTTATGCGCCTAATAGTCACAAAGAAAATTACAAAAATTATAAATATAAAATTCCCATGTAATAATGTTATTCTTATGGAGAATAAGTAAACTGTTTTAGTTTGCCTGTTTATGTACATATTTTGATTAAATTTGGAAAACACATTTATTTCATACTAAACCATTGACATTAAAAAAATACTTTTACCCTCCCTGTTGCAGCAAACTTAAGTACTTCATAAACTAATGCTATTTAAATGGGGAATAAATGTGATTTTTTAAGGATAGTGTAGATCCAATCAGGCAAATGGAAATTCGCTTAGTCTGCAGGTTTGCTGTGGCGGGGGTATTTGAAACTTGTTACAGTTTCTTTTTGTTGATTAGGCCTTGTAGCAAAAAACTAAACAAATCTTAACTGTAAATACTGTACTGGTGGTGCAGTGCAATTAGACCCAAGCTTCAACATCCAAAGTGAAAGCTAACTTTTGACTCCAAACAGTTCAATATAATCAATAATTGTTTGGTAGGTAAAAACCTACACCATTTTGAGCATCGGGTTTGGTGGGAAAGGGGGGGAGGGAGGTTAAAGCTGAACAACTGGTTGTTATTTTGCTTTTTATGAAGGAAACCCATGTGGTTAAGCTAAAATACATTGTTTACAAAAATTATCTACAATGAATTTAAAATACCCCCGCCGCAGCAAACCTGCAGACTAAGCGAATTTCCATTTGACTGATTGGATTTACACTGAAATGTCTACTTAAAAATATAACATTTATTCTTGATTTAAATAGAATTAGTTTAACAAGTACTTAGGTTTGCTGCATCAGGGAGGGTAAAACTGTTTTTTTTTTTTTTTGTAAAATGTGAATAGTTAGTAAGAAATAAAAACATTTTCCAAATTTGATCAAAATATGTTCACAAACAAGCAAACTACAACAGATTACTTATTCTCCATAAGAATAACATGGGAATTTTAAATTTACTATTTTTTGGAATTTTCTCTGTAACCATTAGGCGCATAATAACGCTTCAATATACTAAATTATTTGTTTTTTTAAGCTCTACAAAATGGTTTGGAAAGAAATTGCTAAATTTTATGTTTTTTGGGTCAAAAATGGGAAAAACCTATTTTTACCCCATAAAACCCCCCGTAAACCCCCGTTCCCATGGTCCGATCATGCTGGATCGCGAACTCGTTCGAATAAACGTACGTTTACACGTTTGTACCAAATTTCATCAAAATCGGATCATTTTTGCTCGAGTTATCGTGCTGACGGACACATATATATATATATATATAAATATATAAATATATATATATATATGAATTTGAACGGATGGTGTTTTTGGCCTCTAGGGACCTCAAAATGAAAAAAAAAATCGGTCCCGCGTCCAGGTCTTACCATGAGTACTACGGTAATAGCTTATTCCCTATATGGGAAATTCGCTAATATTCCCTATATGGGAAATTCGCTAAAAAGAATAGTCATCTTCAACATCTTTTTTAAGGGAATAGTTGCAGTGTTACAAAAGCTTTAAAATGGACATTTTTCAAACATTTTTAACGCTTCAAAAGTCCTGGGACGGCAAAATATTTAAAAGATAAATAAACAAGGCTTAGAATAAAGTCACTGGACATAAAAATAGTTTTAAAACATTATTCAAGAAGATTGACACTATATTTAGCCTATTTAACAAATTGGAATTTCTATCTAGGCAGCTATTTAAAAATACATTTTTATTAAAGTAGTTAATGCACCTTAATACAATTATAGTTTTATATACCTAAAGCAGATTCGTATACAGCTTGCATCATCTCACCACTTCCAATATCCTTGCCTTTCTGCCAGCCCTCTCGCCACCTTCAAGCCTGAGCCTTGCCTCCATCTCTCTCTTTCTCTCTCTAGGCGCATGTTGTGTCTTGGATTTCCCCTTTTGTTCTTCTTAACCTTACACAGAAGGCCTCCCTCCAAACCTACTGTCCAAACCAAACCAATAGTGCCTTCTGTATTTACCTTATACATCTTTCTATATCTGTACTTTCCTCTTCATTTATTGCCCGGTCCAACCTTTTCCTCCTGCAACTTCTCCTCTCCGTTTACAGTTTTTGTTTATTACTTATTCTTGTTAAATATGGTTACAGGAGAGGTATAACTCCTCCACACAGAGTAAAGTCTATATCCATGGCCACATTTACGCCCGAAGAGATAGATTTTGTGAAAGCTAGAGGAAACGATGTAAGTGACTATTTAAGTTGTTATTTTTTTTAGAAGATAAAAGCAATTTTTCACTAAAAGCATGTTAACTATTATTAATTTGGTATCTACCAGTGATAACACTCAAATTATTAGGGGTGAATTTATAACCTTAATCAATAATTAGACTCACAAAAGAGCCAAAGGAAGAAACCATCGTCTCCACATCGTCTTCACAACCCCTAGTTTTTGTCAAACTTTTGAAATTGAACAAATAGTTAATTTTAAGTTTTTACTGTTATATTTTTTACTAATCGTCAATTAGAGGTTATTGGAACTAAATTTGTTATTTTTGATTTTGTCTTTATTGCTAGATGTATCAAACATGTACAAAAGTGTCAATATACTATTGTCCATTACTTGAACCTTAGAAGGTTTTTTTACCTCACCAACACCTCTGGGGTTGATTTTGTAAATTCTCATATCTTCTAGCATTTGTTTAACTGTTGCATAATCTAGGACACCAGGCACCCCTAGTCCTTCCTTGGAATAATTTTCTACCACCATTCTCAATGTGGAGTCGAGCTCCCTTATGTTTTTGATGGTCTTTCTCAACCTTTGCTTTGGAAATAAATAAGTATAGAAGGGACTTGATAAAGTACACTTTAACGTTTACTAGATCTTTCCATTGTAAATTTGAACTAAGAAGTCTAAGTTTTACTGATTCTGATAAAATATAGTGTCAAGTAGGAAGTTTAAACCATTAAATTGCGAAGTTTAAACTCTTAACACGTTGACTGCTGAAAACAATGTACAGGCGCTCCCAAGTGGCTGCGATGCCCCGGCGCGCCACTGAATCAGTGAACGCAATTGACATTCAAATATTTCAGTCTAACGAATTACAAAAGAGCAGTGGTGCGTTACCCCGAGAGTGGACGTAGTTCACTGAAACACCCAAAGGTAGCAGCACTGCCTGGATCCGTAGCCTGTGTCTTTGTAATGTGGATCTAAGAGAACAAATCTCCAAAACTGGGATAAAAGCATTGCCAGATGGGATTTTACAGGAAATTTTAGTACCAACCTACAACAAAATAAAGCTCACATTCTAAGCTACAGGTTGGCAATGATTATAACGTCCTCCATCTGATTCTAAGCTCACACTGACTCAATATATTTCAGTTGGTCTGGTGCCGACTCTTGTCGGCGCACACCACATTGAAGCACTAGGGAGGCCGAATAAAGTCGGCATTAGCAATCAACGTGTTAAAGTGATCGCTGAGTCTACATTTGATAACCAGTGTTATCTGGCTGTACTTGGAAGTAACCAGTTCTGTCCAGCCCACCCTCACATTGTTGTCACTTGCCAGTCTATACAAATTTTGTTTACATTACTTATCCTGTTTCAATATTACTGTATGGATTTAATAATAATTCTATGTTATTTCACAGTATTGCAGAAGATTATGGCTAGGTTTACTAGACACACAGCAGCCTCCGACCAAAGACGAACAACAAATTAAAGACTTCATGGTAGCGAAATATGAGAAAAAAAGGTAAACATAATTGTCATGTAGTTATGTGAGTAGTCCATTTAAACCGTAGGCAAATTTTTCTCCGTTTAGCGAATTTCCCATTTAGGGTATGAGCTATTACCGTAGGTCTCATGGTAAGACCTAGATCTGGGACCGATTTACTTTTTCACTTACGATACTTACTTTTTCACTAATTTTGACCCTCTACAAAAACACCATCTTTTCAAATTCATTTATATACCTTTATACATGTGTCCGTTAGTATGATATCTCAAACAAAAGACATCAGATTTTGATTAAATTTATTAAAAAACTTCCATTCATTTGAACGAGTTCACGAACCAGGGTGATCGGACAATGGGAACGTGGTTGTATGGCGGGTTTTATGGAATAAAAATAGGTTTTTCCCATTTTTGACACCCAAAAATATAAAATTATAATTTTTATTTATTTTTTTTTTTTTTGTAGAGCTTAATAAAACAAATAATTTAGTAGGCCTATACTGAAGTGTTGTTGTAAGTTTTGACTACAATAAAAAGTCCATGTACAGCCTGAAGCAAAAATGTTGGTGTTAAGGGGTCATATAAGCAAGCAAGGATTTAAAAGATTTATCGGTATTCTAGGAGCTGTTATATCATTATCGTCTTTTATAAATAGTTTTAAGGTTCATTGTGTTAGAATTTACACAATTAACTTTAAATTACTGTAGTGTGAAATTACTTGAGATATCTGTTTATTTTGTGGCAGGTATTATTTAGACCCGGCCATTGCTTCTACATTGGAGAAGCCAGTGAACGGGGCGGTGCCAACACAAAGAAAACCTTCTGCTCCAAGTGAAACAGCGAGACCTGTGGCTGTAAACAGCACAACATCCGTCCAACCACCCAACTCTCTGGCCTTCAAACCACCCACCACCCTGGTATGTCATAGCTCTTGAGCAAATTCAGTACACTTGACTTCTGCTAGTCCGAACTAGTTCCAGACATTTTTGTAAATAATTTGCACTTTGGTAATGTAAAATATATTTTACAAAGTAAAGAACCGATAAATGTTTTAAACTGTACTAGCAACCTGCGTCACTTAGTGACTTCAAAATCAGTGATGTATTTGATATACAGTATAGTTGGTAAGGATGAAAACGATTATGTCTCATCATATCCCTATTAATGCATTGCGGGCCCTATTATTTTCATTGCATGCGCGATCTCTTTGAGGCATCTTAGAAAAATTACAAAACTAATGAAACATACTATAAAAACACAAAATCTAACTCAAGTCATTTTATTTTTTTATTTCACATAACTAACATTACACTATGAAGACACAAAATCCTCTCACAACACAATATCTAACCTAAGTCATATTCTTCTTTGCATTTTATACAAAAATAACATTATAGCATTTTACTTGAATTCACTGAAATACTACAGATAACCATTTTCATATAGATTTAAACAAAACGAGTTGTTTGCCCGTCCTACGTAAGGGAATCGAGTAGTCAATTAAAACTGAATATGATTCAGAACAGCTAGTTTACAACTTGGTGGCCGATTCACACACACTGGCTTTTAGTACAGTAGCTATATACCACCTTCCACTGCATAGGCCTACTATCACTTGCTGTACCTTATTTTACCACCTTGGCCACTGAAACCTCTAAAATGATCCTGGCCTCCCGTTCTCTTCCATCCCCTGCCATTTCTAAGGAAGATACCAATCTGAAGATGTCTTTCATTACTTGGTCTTCACTCCTTGGAATACACTTTTAAATGTTGAAGTATCTTCTCTCCGCCATGCAAAGCCTGCCCAGCCCATCCGAGATCTGAGCCTTTTGGTCTATTTTTGGAATGTACCCCTTTATCAAGTTTCTGAATCATACAGTACTACTGGGATAGTTATGATATGGTATGAATCGAATTTGGTTTCTACTGACACCCTGCAGCTTACTGGTCAGTTTTCTGGAGACCTACTACACCGGTTGACATTTTCATTACAAATAAAATGTGTACTCTATGCAGTCATACTTATATTCAAACATCTAGAAAAAGATGTATCAACACGTAAACCACTTATATATTAAAGGATTAAGCTCTTATACTTAGACGGATTGCATTTATGACAAAACTTGATTATACGTTTAAAATGTTTAGTTCAAAATTACACAATCTCCTGATAACATAGATCTTTTACGGTAGGAAATAAACTGCATTTTAAAGTGAAATAGTGTGTAGGCGAACTCTGACGATCAATATTTTTGTATACAAACAACTTATAACACAAACATTTCAATGACAGTTAGAAACCAGCTGTTAGTTAAACCAACACTAAAACGACTTAAACTCGTCCGTCAGCTGCTGGACTTTTTGAAAATTAAAACTTAATTCCTAAAAAACTGAAACCCTAAACTAAAATTATGGCTTCGACATTCCCTAGTTTTCAAAATTATCTTTCTTTCAACACAAAAATCATAAAAATCTGTCTTCAAGTGGTTGTTTCAGAATCGTGAAATAAAAAAACCCTGTCACGTTTTAATATATAGGATTGTATCATGGCCATATGTTTTGATGTAAACTTGATAAAGTTGAAATGAATAACAACAGAATTCAGTTCAAACTATGAAATTTTATAAGCCTATAGGACCAAGGGCTTTCACGGTATATCATCCAAACCTGCAAAAGGCACATCTAGAGGATAAGAGCTTTAAATTGATACCCAATATGCCTATAAAAAAAAATATTTAGGGGTCAATTTGCTGTACACAAAAATCCAACAAATTAATTAAATAATATAGATTGTATGTTGTTCAATAGCATATTCAATTGTTTGGGTCCATTATTTATAGGTAGTAGGCTCCCAAATTATTGTTTTTTTTAGCAACAGTTCATTTAGCAAAAATGATATGGAAGCAGAAAAGATAAATATTTATAAACAGCTCAAATATGAGTTATGCGCTGACAATTGTCTTCTTACACATCTGTCTGCTGTGCGCTGTGTCACAACACAGCAGATTTCATTAGATCAGAACTGATTATGACATAATGCTTAGTAGCCTGTGATTGAGTGATCAGTAACCCTAGCAACTTTCTAAGAGGAATGTCTCAGTTTTATGTTGGTTAATCTATCTTCATTTTTTAGTGTTGTTATTTTTATAAATTATGATTTTAGAATTATTTTTCTGAGTAAACTAATATTTTTATCGTTCTCAATATGATTTATTTTCAATTGTGGAAACAGCAATGATAGTTGATAATTATCATACACACGCCTCTGTTCTGAAACTCGTTCTGGTAGCCAATAAAGAACTGTTTTGTTCATTATGTAATATGTATTTAAGTATAGTGTTTGGCTATTTTTTTTAGTGAGCTGTTATTTTAAACATTAACATTAGGTAGGTACTGTACAGTTAGTAAATCTGAACCAAGGTCAATGACTTGTAATGTCATGATTGTGCCATATATTCCTATTTCATTAATTAAGAAATGAAACTTTTGACATCAATATTTACAACTACAAAATGAGAAAATTAAACTCTTCAGAGCTTTCTTCAACTTACTTATATTTTCACAACAAAAAAAGAACCTTCTATCTCAACTTTTAAACATAATCCAACTCTACCAATTATTCGTCACCATAACAACCCAAAATAGCCAAAAACGTAAACATAAACAAACTATTAGTCAGCTGATGCTGGTTCACAACTACATGTTATATATTTCATTCCATGTTGGACTAACCGTAGTTTTCGTTATCCATGGACAGTCTCCCTCCCCCAATTATCCCGGATAATGAAAGTTGTAGTAGATTTAAATTATTTCGGCTAATCCGAACAATCAGCTGATCCAAACAGCGTTTGGTCCCAACTAATTAGGATTAGCCAGACTCAAGTGTACATTCTTTCAACAATTCAAAACTTCTGTGTTGATTTTTAGTCAGTGCCAAAAAAAGGAGTCACTCAAGACAACCGATTCATTTTTCGGTTAAAGCACAGACAGATCCATCTGCCTTTGCCTAATGTTAGATACTGTCTTATAATATACTGTTTTCTCTTTGATGGACCCAGCAATGTGGTGTACAATCCATCACTCAAGCCCATCCTGCCCTCAGGATTGTTCATAAATTGTTTGGATAAATTATCGTCCTCACGTTTTCCAGACGAACAACAACAACGTTTTCACACCTGAGCCGTTTGCTGACTTCAACAACCTGTCAATTCCCCCGCCTTGTGATCCGTTCAACAGTTCACAGTCTGCCGTCGCTCCTACGTCTTCTCAACCATCGTTTGCCAATTTTGACAATAACCCTGTCTTCAGCTCCACAAACACAGGTCAGTACATACCAGTTAGTTATAGGTTCTGTTGGTTTTATTTTAACGCTGTCTTGACAAATGACAAAATGGTCGTCGAGGCTACTCAACTGATTCTCAGCAGATCACCTATTTCCTCCAAGATAAGATCATAACAGATCAGATGTTTTGTTAAAATTTTTCTCATGTCAAAACAAACTATTCTATTTATCTTCCCATTGATGTGTTGCATCCTTTTCCTACAGTCACTTCAAAACTTCTAATAATGTGCTACATCTTGACAAAATTAAATTCCCAGAACTATGAACACAGGGGAAAAAATTCTAATGTAGTATCGGTAGCCCAGGAAATATTAGCTTAGGTTTTTAGGATATATGCAAATAGATTTAATTCTTATCAACTTTTACAACATGGAAAATGTAGTGAAGTTGCAACTTCTGCGGGTTCAACTGTGGTAAAAAAACCAAAAGTATCTTGGGCGAAGCAGATGGGCAACTGCTAGTTTACAATAAATTACCAATAACACTAAACCTCATAGATAACTGAAACGATGGATTCTAGCTGATGAAATGATGGTTTTGTTGTTAAAATGTGTCTCACAGTAGTTGAAATAATTTGGGTTGCATTAAACAAAAAACACCCTATATATATATATATATATATATATATATATTGTTATTCATGGCCCTGGCTGAAGGGAGTCATTATCGGTGTGTATCATTGCATTCAAATCTTTTGGTGCAAGCTCTAATATTTTGTATTGAAAGAGAATGAATATATCATAAAGTGTATTGTAAAAAATTTAAATATTTTACAATAATGTCTGGTTTGTTTTGATTATGGGACAAAATGTAGTTTCTACTCTAATTTCCATTATTTTGTAATCCCCTTTAAAAAATAAAAACAAATTATTGTTAAGCCTAAGATTTATTCCTTCTAATGGTATGCTGATGCCGGTTTACCTGTTGAAATTCAGGTGGAGGCATCTTGTTTTGTTATCACCTTGTATTCTATACCTAACGTTTTAACAGTTACCATTGAAGTAATTTAGTAAATCACCTAATTGTGGAGCCCAACTGATATGAGCATTCTTTGACTGGTCTAATCCAGCAAGTCTAGATGTTTGGGCAGAAATATCGTCCTACACTCCGCCCATCTTCAAAGTTCCTTTGCGTCCATTGTCTGGAAGGTCATCCTGTCCTCCGACCAATAGATGGAGTGAGTTGAGCTCTTGGATGTTTTGAGCTTGAACGTTGTTGTGGTTTTTCATTATTTTTCATTTCTTTTATTTCTAGTAGAATTGTATTATCATTTTGTTAAGCTTTGTATTATTGCACTTTTCTGTTTGAATATTTTTTTTTTCATTAGATGTATATTATTGAGGTAATTTTTAGTGTATATTGTGTGATTTATGTTTTTATTTTTTGCTTGGTGATTCATGTCCTGTATTTTGAGGACGATAAGCCTGGAAGACCTTTTTTGTACATGAAGGGTCATAAACATTATGTAATCCTTTTTAGGGTTGTAAAGCTTCAACCTAAAAAGATGAATCATGGGAGTTGGGAACAGCTCCTATTCACTACACGGGGGAAGGGGTGTGGTAGGCAGGTGTACGGGAAGACTTCTGAGAAAGAGACACCTGCATAATAAGAATAGGCTATTAACTCTTGTTTTGAGATTTTGAGAAGTATTTCCACTCCCCACTCTAAGTTTCCGTTAATGATAGTATAAACAATAATTTCCCGTGATATCAGTTTTCCGTATATTCAAGCCTATTGTCCTACACCCATGTTTAGTTTGATATTGCATGTGTTTTAGTAATTTTATAGTTTTAAAGGTACTTAAAGTGGTTGAAATTACAAATTATTATGTTAAATTAAACCTATAAATAAGTTCTCATTCTTTATTACAAAATCTTTTCTGGTTTAACCTCAACTTGCTCAACAACTACCTTTTCCTTTTACTTGACAATAAATCTTCAAGGATGTCATCACCATAGTATTATTTGCTGATCTCCCTTTTGAATATACACAATACTAATTAAGGAGCTTCCTTTAAAATTGTGTTCAGCAAATCTCTCCTGCTGAATGCTGGATAGAGATTTATGACAGTTTCCATCTCATTGAAGATCACTCAATTGACTAAAAACAATTTTTTGTGTTTTTAGGCATGCCCGGGTCAGGAGTGGGGGAAGCAGCCACAGTACCAGCAGAAGACAGATATGCAGCTCTTAAAGATCTTGATTGCTTAATGAAATCTCAGCAGCAACAGCAACAACAGCAGCAGCAGCAGCAACAACAACAACAACAACAACAACAGGCTGTGGAGCCTGCTGCAGAGTGGACGGCTGGTTAGTATACATTTAATGTTTCTTAACTGTATGAAATACATTAGGAAGGAATGGCTAACACAACTTACTCAAGGAATGAGTTCCAGGCAATGAGAATGAGGCAATGAGAGGCAATGAGGGAATGAGTTCTGAAGTAAGTAGTAGAATGGCTCTACTACTTAAAAGTTTGTGATTTGACAGTCAATTTTTCTTTCCCTGTGATTTCTTGTTTTCCTTCTTTTGTTACTGTATTTTCAAACCGTGCTGCTGCAGTAATGAGGACTATATTAATACTTAAGATTTTGATATTACTAGGCATATTTAAACCAGAACACAAATGGAAGATGATTGTGAGATGGTAGAGACGCAAGGTGTAGCTTTTTTCTGGCTAAGAGATACTCTTTCCTTTATTAATATTAGCTATGATCATCGATGTATAATAACTCTTACTGGATAGCGCGCTAGGTGGTGGAAAAACGGTCCGTGCCCGCCAATCGAATTGGCGGGATACCGAGGCGGACGGGCGGATTGAACCTCTCTGTTTTACACAAACATACATTCACTCAACCTGCTCTGCTACACTTATTTGTTAACATAAAAATTTCAAATTGATATATTATTTTCTGGAAAAACCAGTGCTCATTACTATGTAGCTAGTTTTTACATTAACATATTTTTTATAATTTATTTAGGCAAATTAAAACAGATGATTGTTTTTAACACCATTAAAAACATGAAAAATGTAGTAAGCGAGGAACTTTTTTATTTTTTGGTCAGGAAAAAAATTCCTGCGGCAAAGTTTTGGATCAAAGTATGAATTTTATTTTTTATTTGAAGCTTTTTTTGATACGGAGCCTGCTTGTATCATTTTTAAGCGATTAAAAATAGGCATAAAATCGCTTGGCGCGGCATTGGCGCTAGGAGCTCGGCCGGCTCAGCATCAGTTTACGGGATATAGAAACTGAGTTTCTAGCATTTAATTATCATTATATTACATCAAATATGTCAAAACACAGGGTTGCCACCAGCCATGAAAACCTTGAAAAGCGTGAATTATGCGTGAATTTAGGTGACCATGAAAAAGTGCGTGAATTATGCGTGAATTTCGCCATTGGACCATGAATTCTCAAAATCATTATTAATAATTCAGCCAAAACCCCTAAATGTGCTGAATCAAATACTCCGTATTAAAACCATTCTCGAAATGAACACCGAGATAAAACGTCAAAGTGGGAGTGTCAAGATAAAAAGTTTTGTTGCCATGCCACGAACAGAAACGATTGCGTAGTTTATTCAAGGTCAAATCCGATCGTAACCGACGTCAGCCGAGTAGTCTAGAGATGAGAATTATCGTTGTTTTCCGGCAACGGTTATAACGATAACGCAGCTGCCCAATAACGTGTTGCGGCGTTCAGTTATCGTTGTCGGTTGATCAGTTCAGTTTTCAGTTGTAGTCGGGAGTCGGGCGCGAGTCGGGCGTGGCCCAGACAGGATGCGTTATTCTCACTGAGCTAAAATTATAACTGGAGGTAGCACTGCCATGGCAGAAGTCTGTCAAAAGCGTGTCGCTAATTTTGTTAGGTTGGTATAGCAGTGAGTTTTTTCATCCAATGACATGGCTTCTATAACTAGGTTTGTATGGCAGTGAGTTTTTTCATCCAATAACATGGCTTCTTTATAACTCACACCTCACGCAAACATGGCGGCTGGCGACACGCATCTTTGACATTCAGTGCTACCATTGACTAATGGTGCTACCTCCAGTTAGAATTATAGCTCAGTGGTTATTCTAGTTCGTTTCAGAAGTTATCGTTGCTCTGGTAGCGTTACGGCAACGGCACTAATGGCAATGCATGTTTTCGTTTTCGTTGTCCGCGCGGCTTTCCTGCAACATTGTGTAGATACGTTATTATAATAACAGGGAGTTCTCCGCAACGTGTTGCCGCGATAACGTTGCCGTGGCCGCAACACTGTTATTCATCCTGTTATGTTATAACGCCCATCCCTACCGAGTACCGATCTACCGATAAAATCGATGCTTTCGGAGCCAAAACATCGATCACATCGATGTTTGTTCCGAGTTTCTCGTCTGTTCTCTGCACTGTAACAGCCAATTAACCTAAAACCAATACAATTCAGTTACGGAAAACATCAATACTGTATTTCATTACTTTTTTTGGCCTAAAAGACCGATGTAACAAACCAAATCATCGGTTCGGTAATCTACCATCGATGTAAACAAACAACTTCGAACATCGATAGAAAAGACATCGATGTTTCGAAAACATCGACAATCGGAATTGATGCTCGCTCTCACTCATTCTCTACTCTCTACTCTAGTGTTCGTGTGGAAGGAAATACAGAATAACCATAACCTAAAAGTTTTAAACTGATCTGAAACTTGTCAAACGTTTGAAGTAGTGGTGGACACTGGACAGTAAGATCACTTTTTGCACTCGTGATTCCGTTTTGTGCTTCTTATAATTGATTACCCAACACTCAGTGGAACAAGTGTTCAGATTAAATATTTTTTATTACTGATATATCATACTTCCGATACTTTACAACGTTAAAATAAGAAGTACCTTGCCTTGCCATAAAGGTCAAAATGGCTTGCTCCGGCTGGAACTTAATCGTCTTCTGTGTTTGTTTGGTCAAATATGTCGTATTTCAAACTACTGTCAGTGTTGAGTAAATGTGTTTACAACGTGAGTTTAAGTTTATTTATTTAGGCCTAAGTTGCAAGAAGTCAATGTTGTGCTGAAAAATGGTGATTTCGTTCTGAGGCTGGTAAATGTAAATGTTGTGTTAGAAGCATAGGTGTTTTCAGTCAATACGAATCTAACTAATGAGATGTAAATTTAATTAAATAATTGTTTTAACTGTGATTTAAACCTGTGTAGGCAAATGATAATATATAAACTGATCCAATCGGAAGAAACATCCTTCTAAACTAAGTTTATTTTAACCTTTTCTGTAATGTAATTAATTATTTTTTTATTACTTAAAAGTTAGCCTATGTTTAAACTTACATTTAACTAATCCACTAATATTTAACTATTTAACTAAATATTTATTTACATAATATTACCTTTTTAGAGTGTTTTTATCAGTCAGTCGGTAACCTTTAATCTTCTCAATAAATAAAAGTTGGTTCAGGCCTAACTTAGCCTAGATTCAGCTTTGGATTACAATGTAGGCTAGCCTACTGTGTTACAGTAGTAATAGATTGCATGTGCGTTTTAGTAGGCCTAGATATGGCCCATTACTAAGTTAACCGTTTCTTGATCATGTTCTTAACATTTGTTTTTATTATGCCTATTATCTTAATTACCGGTATGCGTTATGCCTATTATCTTAATTTGATGTTTAGACAGTAATTAAAGTTCTAGGCCATTGCTGGATTAACTAAGTTAAACCTTTTATGTTTGGATGCAATGTTTTTTAGGTTAGGCCTATACCTAACTACCAATCCGACTTATTATTTATTTATTATTTCTTCTAACGTTTGAATTTATCATTAGGCCTAAGTTATGATGTTGTTAAATCAGATGTTTCAATTTTTTTTAAGAATTACATTGTATTATCACACACAAGATTTTTATTAAATATCCTTTTTCATCTGTGATTTTACTTTTTTTAGACTGGATAAATTTTATTAAATTCTTATTTTTCACTCTAAAATAATTGCATGAAATGTGTTTTATTTTATAGTAGCACACAAAACTATATATTGTCGATAAATTAATGTACAATTCTGAACTAGGCAATACTCTTTTATGGTGAAATTGTGCGAGCATATACCCCATGAATTTTTCAAAACTACCAATGAAAACCTTGAATTATGCATGAATTTTTTTATCTCACTTTGGTGGCAACCCTGAAACATTACGAGGAATGGTAATTTAATTTACAGGCGTATGTTTGTGCATTTTGATGCTTACCGGTAGTCTATAGTTAACAAAATTCTTTGAATCAAAGAATAAATGTTAGATTTCACAGTAGTATTTAATACCAAAGAAAATATTTTGTTATTATACTTCAGTGAGAATAATGAATACATTTGAGATATTGACATTAAATATTATACACTCATTTTATTTAGCAACATAATATGTTTTCCAAACACGTTGATCAGTATGACAAAGAAACATATTGTAATATAAACAAAATATATATTCTTAAATGATGCAAAGTCTCTCAATAATAATTGGGCCTCGCCGAAGCAAATGATGACATGCATATGTGATCAAATAATTATTGTGATATACTTTGCTCTGGTTAAATATAAATTCAAATTCGTTCAAATATAAATAAATAAAATAAACTCTTCTATATCACCACTTCATTTCTTATGAGGTTTACTTTTGACACATAGTCTATGTGTGAGCAAGTACGTAGATTAATTATATCTGCTTATAAAACCTCCTTAAGTTCATTATAATCAATTATCCTCGGAATATTCCCACAAAACTAAATCGCAATACACGGCGAGAGCGGGCGCGACGCTCGCCACTAGGGTGACTCATGCATTTTATCCCCACTCCTCGCGGACAGAGCGAGGTAGCGACGGACCGTTTTTCGAGCCCTACTTCAACCTGAGCGCGCAATCCAGGGAGTTATTATACATCGATGGCTATGATAAGGCAACTAACTTTTCTCGGGTATGAACTTAAAACTTTCTGCTTTTTAGTGAGCTCAGTAATAAAGCTTATTATTTTGCTGTTAGGAGTGACAAACGGTTATCCCAATGGCTGGTCGGCTCCCTCCCTGTTCCCTACTGGAGTTGGACAAACCAACGACACCAGTGTGACTGCTAACCCCTTCAAAGGTGAGTGGAAGTAGACTAAGTAACGCAGTGTTTGTATAGCAACGGTTGTAAAGATTTCTGATATCTGGTCTCAACCACAAAATAATTATACAAGGACTGTACAGAAAGTGGGTTGACGGAAGACTGCCCTCCCGGACAACTACTGTGCCCCCCCCCCCCCCCCCCCCCAAGTTCCTATGTCATGTTAACATTGCAATGACTCAAAAATCATTGTTTGTAAATACAGTATTAATTAATTTAAATTCCAAAAAACTGAACCTTGTCTATATTTTACAATTTAATCATCTTCATATAATCAACAAAGCAAAAATTGTATGTCTCAACATATATGCAACTTATAATCAAAATTTATTCATTGTCTTATAAAAATTATCATCCAAAACAAGTTATACATTTTACATTTAACATACCAAGTATCTTGGGTCAAGATTATAAATCAAATTCAACACATGTTTTAAAGTATGTAAACCCAAGGCCACACTAAAAAAACAGGCCGTAATGCTCGCCAAGCATGACGTCACGATAGAAGACGGCTATGACGTATAAGTACTTATTTATTTATTTTCCAATGAAAGATTAAAACAAGCAGCTGATCACAAACGGCAAAATTACGTCATTGCCGTCTTCTATCGTGACGTCATGCTAGACGAGCATTACGGCCTGTTTTTTTAGTGTGGCCTTGGTAAACCCAATAAAATGATGAAGAGATGATTGACAACAATAAACAGTGTGGTAAATGTTTCCAAGAAGAACAGATAAACAGTAATCATTACAGTTGTGCTAAACTAAATTGTTGAATTTAAATTATATTATAAAATAAAACAGTGTTACTTATATAATAGTGAACACAAAATTGAAGAAAAAAGAATAACATAATCCTGAAGACTCATAAACCTAAAAAATATCAAATATAGAGGTTTATTTCAACGCCAGAGATCAGGGGGCAGTTTTCCAGTCAAGGACATTCAAGTTTCGTTGTCAAACTGTTCTAAACTAACCTAATCAACCAAACTTGCTGTAACATTTCCAAATTCTGTTTGATATTCTCCACATGCATTACTATTACAATTACATAGCATAACATTTTCCTTGGGGGGGGGTAGTATCCCAGTTCCGGACACGGCTCCCATATTGGTTTTGTTGGCAGATTTTGTTACGTCACGTTTCACCTGTGGGGGTGGTTTTCTGGGGGGGGGGTAGTATTTCGCATCCCACAGAATTTCTGGTTCAGCCCGGCAGAGGTTGGGAATACTGTTGTCATCTTCATAGTGTTTTTACTCTCAGGATTAATTGAACTAATGTTCCAAAGAATAAATTGAGCAAAAAAGTTGTGCTCTTAACCTTTTGTCTGAATTGAATCAATTTTAGTCCACAAAAGTGTTTAAAAGTTGAATACCACAACATTTTTGAAAACTGGTGTAAAAAGTGCAAGGGGCTAATCTTAATGCACAGGGAATCATAGATGAAATCACAGGTGCATAGTGGATATCATAATATTGTGGTCAATGTAGAGGTTGATTAACAGTTGAGTTTTTGTTAATCGCTAATTGTTACTTTACTGTATTCAACTGTAATACTTTGCAGCGGATTAAGAATTCAGATGATAATCTATTATCTTTTTTGTGTCTTGCGCAGAAAACAGTTACTCAACCGCCGTTGATTATAGAAACCAAAGACAATTATACCACCATAGAAGTAAGATACAGAGGATATAAGATTATGGGAAAACCCAATGCCTATAGCTCTGATATGTTGTTGCGGAAATGTACTACTATCGAGCAAGGAAGATCCTGAACAGCGATGGCCACATAGCATATTTGTACAGCAGTTGTAGCGCACAGGGCCTTCCTACCATGTGAGTGCTGTAGTACATGTTGGCGTGGGGATGAGGGAGAGCGGAAGGGGACAACAAATAGAATTTGATCTGATGTGACTGGTGCTAGACACCACTAAAGTGTACCATTGAATGTATCCTCTGTTTCTTACTTCTCTGTGGTTCCACTTGATTCTACAAATTGTTCTTAAGTTGTTTAACAGTTTGTATTTTTGTTAGTTGTGTGTCAGAATAAGATTTAAAATGTATAATTTTTTGTTGTTGCCATTTTTAATTTTTTAACTTAGCCTATTTTAAAATTTAACACATTTGTCTTACCAGGTGAAACAACTTGGAACAATGGGTTTGCTGGAGGCGCCAATCCTTTCAGAAACACTAGGCCATTCTCTTCTGGTGAGTATTTACATTTTAAAGGGACAAAAGATAAACTGTAATTAAATAATTTACTCATTTGAACTATGTTTGACAGTTTACTTAATTACAATATTTTCAGAACATTTGTCAAACTTACAAAATATATCTCAGTATAGTAAGTGTCAAACTTGAATCTTTCTTTAACCAAGAAAATTTCAAGAAAAGATTTGATTAAAATAAATTCAATACCGGTAATAGTGATCATTTATTTGAATGTAGGTATTTTAAGTATAAATGCTGTACCAATGATTTGTTTCTCGTTGGTTCAGATTCAGGATTCTTAATTCCTAAATTTCTACATCAATAAATTTCTCAATATAAACAATATTAATTGCTGAGATCATTTTGTCATCATGTTTTGCATTTACTTGTCACAAACATCCATCCATCTATCCATTCATCCATACATCCAAACTTTCTCACTTATAATATTAGTAGGACTTCACCAGTCAATTTGCAAATTATAAATTTCATTTACTAATCCCGATTCTCTAAAGATCTGATTTCGAGACTTAGATTAATAAATTATGCTATATCCTACAATTGATATACATTTTCTAAATATAAAAAAAATCTTGTTAAATAGGCTATCTGTTTTAGACTTTCCAGTACCTAATGGTTATAGTCTTTTGAGCATCAAGTGTTTGATATGTACTAATGTTTTACAGAATCCGTCTGGGCTAGTGTTCCTAATGGACAGATGACCAATGGCTTCACGACAAGTCAGTCTCTTAACTTCCCAACAGCCAAAGTTCCTTGGAGTAATGATACCATCAGTAATCCATTTGTGGTAAGATTTCTATTTTAAATATTTTGCAATTTACATGAGAAAAAAAAACCTAATTCATATCAGTCTAAAAAACGTTCTAATATTATTATTTAAAAATATTTTGTCATGATGCTGAAAAATTGCTATTTTCAATTCAAACAGCGTGATGGTAAAATACTTCTAATTAGTTTAAGGGTAAGAAAAGAATTGGTTTGTTTAGAGGGAACTGTTATAAATGTTATTGATGAACTTACCCACCATGGAGTACTCGTAGATGACAGTTTACTTGAGGACCAACCATCATAAACGTTAACAAGTGAACCGCCATTGAATTCTGGATAATGAAGTAGTCATCACATCTTTATTAACCAACTGTTGCCAATTTATTGGTCAAATAGAAAATCGCTGAATGAGCCACCCACAGAGGTAGCTACTGTCCAAGCTTTATTTTTTCTCTTAGTTTTCGATCCTTTAATCTTTAAAGTGTCCTTTCAGTTTGGCTATTTGGAGTACCGTATTTGAAAAGAATGAGCAATTGACATCAGCACAGTTGGTGGCTCAATTAACCATTTTAGTCAACGGATCTACTCAATTTGGAAGATAAATGCCAGTAACTACGAGGGACATGCAAAAACGGATCGACCAGATCAACAAGAATAGAGTTTTCCTAACCTCGTATCCTATGACAGAAGGCAACATAAACTATTTCGCTTTTATAAAACGGTCATGTTTAACATGTGTTGCCTCTTGTTGTAGGTTATGCCGAACCCTCAAGTTTCGGCTCACCACTCCAGCAACCCGTTCCTCTAGGAGAATTCTCACCTCGTCGTAAAGGTTACCAACGTCGAACGCTATTTTATACTCCAACAGTTTTTTACGAATTGATTTGCTTTTCCAATACTTCTTGAGCATTTTCCAAAATGATTCAACATGAGCCTTCTTCTTAAAGATTGTGAGGTGCTTTGTTAGTTTGATGTGTTCCATTAGCTTGCTAAAACGGAGCGTTTATGGAAATTTAATGGCCTTTTTTTTGGAGGTGATTTTAAATTCAAGTATACATTTTTAAACGGAATTAGCTTATGATTCTATGTTGAGAATAAAACTGTAGGTAAGAAAGATGTTTTCTAATTTTATTTTATAAATTCAGTATACTACACAAGTCTGTTAAAAGTTTTGTGTGAAACTTGAATGCCCGTCTGTTAGCTCTTTGAAATTTGATTTTACAATCTTACAACATATTATAAGATGAAAATATATTGAATTTTATCAATTGAACAGACTGAATATGATTAGATTGATTATTAAAAATACATTTTAAAATTTTTTAAATGCTGTTAGTATTATGTTAAAACTCTAGAGAGTTTTAAACGTCAAATCCATGAAAGCCGATTAACGGTGTGACTACATTAAGAGTTGATTAATAAGTGTTTTTAAACTGTGAGTCTTTGTGTAACTTGAAATGAATTTTTTTTTAAATAGTTAGAAATAGACTATTATTACTTGATAAAAATAGAAAACTTAAACTAAAACCGTAAAAAGAATTTTTGTGAGGATAGCAGGCCCATCTGAAATTATCTGAATGGGAAGGAGTCAAATCTGGCACAAGACACTCATAACCTACATAAAACATGAGTTGAAGGGATGTATTGATCCTATAGCCCCTCTTGAAGCTCAGATCAAATTAAACATTTATTAGATAAGTTAATTAGCTTAATTAAAAATAGTCTACTATGTAATCAATGTGAACACATATTAGATTATTCAAATAAAAAAACATAATACTACTTTATAAATACATTGCAATCCACATTTTTTTTTATGTTTCAACTTGCATATTGATCGGTTTGTCGTATTATGGGACTGGAGGAGCATTTGAATGATTGTTTATAACTTCTTTCCGTACGTTGCAAGTGTGAGAAGGATTTGTTGGTGGTAAGACCATTTTTAAGCCGTTTTTATTCTTACCCCAAAAGTCGGCTACGTAAAGCATACCATGCATGAAAACCCTGGCAAGTAGGATTACACTGACGAATTACAGTTTATGTACTTGGTTCATGTATATGGCCATTGCGAATCCTTGAAGGGAAACTGATGACGCTGCATTGTATTTCAAAAATGGGACTTGAATCTAAGGTGATTCGTGGAATGTGGACAAATCTCCCAGAAAGCTCTCCAGTGATTATTTTGGCCTTAATAATGTCGATGCATAGTTCCTTTGCGATTGATCGAGTTCCGTTGCAGATATCTTCAGTAATGTCCAGGTTTTGCAATAGAATTATGATGGTGTTCTCCTTGAAATTTAGTTAATGAGGTGGAAATACAACATTTTTCATTAAAACCTTTAGTTAAAACTAACCAATTCAGTTATTTTTGTTTGCACGTCAATTCAAAAGATGACGATAAAATAACCTGTATCAGCTGTTTTGTTAACTGCAGCTACAAAAAGGTATTGACGATAACACACTTTCTAGGGCTGTAGGTCGAAAACTGGATTTTTCCAAGTGGGAAACCGCAAAAAATATATATATCTTAGTATCATTGTAGAAACATTTCCTGAAATTTAACTAAACAAACCCACAGAGAGCAATGTTTTTTTGTTTGTTGAGCAAACAATCTGGAAAGTTGTTGCTACTCAATAGGATCGATTCGATACATCTCTTCGACTAATGTTTTGTGTATAGTATGTGTTTCTTGTGCCAGATTGAATTCATTCTTATTCGGGTAATTTCCGGTAAGCCTGCTACCCTAGCAAATATCCTAAATACCTAGGCTCTTGTGGTCTATGTTTAAATTCTTAAAACGGTAAAAGGTAATTCAAATTCCAAGTTGGCCTGAGTTGGAAAGTCTTGTGGGTTATTAATTTTTATAATCTGTATATATTGTAACTGTTCACTATATCAAATGTGTGTTGTGTATTTGGACTTATAAAACTGTGATCGATGGATCAAGCCTTGGGAAATGCATATTCCAAAAAGCCAGTGTGTAGTAACTATTATTCACTTATGCTATTGTTGTTCGAATATTAAACTAGACAATATTGTTATTTTGTATGATTCGATAGTTAAGTTTACTGTCTTAAGTCTGAAGTAACTATCGTAACAATAATGTTTTCAGTATAGTTAGCTGTAGCTTACATAACTGGGCTACTCGCTCGATGCACTTTGAAACTGATTGCCTTTTAGAAACGCTTGAAACGGATGTTGTAGAATCTCGCAGCAAATGTTAAATGTGCTTATTTATAGATAGCCACAGTATATATATATATATCTATATATATAAGTAATTTTCTAACAATTTAAGTATATCACATTTTACAATTGTGTAGACCATGCTATATATTAAAAGTACAGCCGCATGAATATTTTTCTCTAAGAAAGATACGCTGTGCAGTTTCTGTGATATTACAGTAAATGTCCTGGGAGAATACATTGTTATTTTGTAAGATAAATAAATTATACAAAATACACCTGTTTTCTTACCAATGGATTTGTTTTCCTTTGCCTCTTTCAGCTTTTTTGGGCTTTAAAATTCAATAGTTTTAACTTACAAACAACTCAACAAACATATCCCAGCAATGCTGAAGAAGCCTTAATGTCTCGTCAGCAAAATGAAATGACTTAATTTTTTCAAAAAGTGTGTAAAAAGGTATTTTTGTTATTAAATTAAGAAGTTTTATTTTGTGTCGAGCTTCAATAATGTTATATTATAAAAGTTTTGCCATCATTAGTAGGCCACATGTATTCCTAGCATTACCTTACTACGATATTACTTTTTTTTAGTTAACCTTTGAATATCAATAGAATTGATAGAACTTTCTATCCCCATTTTAAAATTGTCGCCAGTTTTTAAATCCAATAGACGTAGTTGAAGTGAACCACTGACAGATTATGATGGTTAATGTAACAGATTTCTTTCGGACGAGAAAACTTTTTAATAAAGCATTAGCAAATCCAATAGGATGACTTATTTTAAGCTATAGCATCTTTTATATCACGTCAACTATATCATTAACAACAAATTAGGTAGAAAATTGAATTTAGACTCTAGCACTCTGGCTGGCTCACTCAAATAACCTTTTTCAAATAGGAAATGGCGATATCTGATCCCGTCCCTAGATGGGTTGGGTATAGTTCTGAAGTATTTATTGATATTCTCAGTACTTATTCACATGTCTATTTAAAAAATAATTTCATCATACTGTTCGGAAAGCAGCCATTTTAGTTCTCTAAATAGTCAGCAAAATCATAATTTTTGGGTAACTTCAAATAGGACAGAGAAAAAATAAATATGGTACATTTTTCTGTTCGCTAACCTCAAAATGTTATCAGTGCATTATATCACATGATATTTAAAGTTATGTTTGTAAACAACAGAAAATATTGTAAACATTGAGGACGTTATTGTACAACATCAAATTATGTGTTCTAATTTTGTAACGATTAGTTGTTTATTTCCACAGTATAATGAAAATAGTTGTTCATCAAACAGATTGAAAGAGTCTTTTCATTACACCGTCTCAAAAACAACTGTCTTACGGATCGTTTTGAGTCCCTAAAGATAGATTTTGCGGACTAGTCCGTAAAATTTTACGGACTCAAATCATATGGTTATGTCAAAGCTTACCTCAAAAACAAATCAGCTGTTCTAAAGTAAACGTCCCTTTTTAATCTAACGGTTTTGGCTAGATTTTGTATTTTCTACTAAAATATGTGACAACGTAATAACAATTATTGTTTGTAAGTCGTCCTAAAATGCTTTCTAGTGACTTAATCAAATTTAGTGAGTTAAACACAATATCGTCCCAAAGAAGCCTACTTTAGGGACTAATAACGAAAACTACTATTTTGGTACTTAATCGTAAAACATGATTGCGTATTAAAAAGAGCCACTTTCGCTCCTAGTGATGAAAACTACTATTTTTGAGTTTCAAAAATTTTGTTCATTGTCAGGAACATAGTTGAAGCACAATTGTAAAAGTTGAAAAAAGTTTCAGCCGAGAGATTGTAAATGTTTCAAATCAACAATATTCGGTAAGAAATAAAAACTTAGGTAGCTATATAAACTTTATTTATTTACAAAACAACGTATAAACTTACGTTTGACTAATGTAACAAGGGTTATAGAGATATCTTTCATGACAAATAGAATTAGAGAGGAACGGACACCGCTTAAATTTATCCTCCTAGACTATATTTCTTTAACTTAAACTCAATTTATTGTTTTAAAAGTCATAGCATTGTATATAAATTGATAAATACTCATCAGTGGGATGTATTAGTATATTTTTGAATATAAAAACAATACTCAAGAGTGTTGTATTAGGTTGAAGAAAAGAAAAAAATCAGCACACATTGTAGATAAAAATAATAAATTAGGCCTACCAGTTTACTATTTTCACGTGCAATAATTAAAAATTGTGTTTATTAAATTGGAGTAAAGTCCTAAAATCAGGCTCAATTTGTTAATTACAACTAGAACCTAGAATAGGTAGCTAAAAAAATATATAATCAACCTATTTTTAACCTCATTCTTTTTTGATAAATTACGGAAGAGCATGAAAAATTAACTCGTTTCTTCGATCAAACTCGACTTCACCAACTGAGTTTTGTTGGTTAATACATTTGTTATCTCGTTTATTGTTTGTGTTTATTGCATAAAAGTCTCAACATTTAATGTGTCTGTATACACAAGTCACAACATATGGTATTTTAAAATTTGTCATTGTCTGTAAACATAAAGTGGTACGTACCAATACTTTCTATGTCCAACCTAATACTATACGATTCAGTAAAAATATTTACAAAACGTTTATGAGGGATTTTGCTACATGGGAAAGAATGATGTTGACGGAATGCAGTCACTTCTAATATACACTCTGTTGTTTACTTCTTCGTTTGATGGCATAGAAGCCAACTAGATGAAGGATCACGAAGGTTATAAACAAACCTACAAAGTCAATTGATAGGTTGTATTCGTGGAAACCGTACTTGGTTAGGACTCCTTCCCCAGTGGATATACATGGAATGCCTGGTGTCTCCGAGCAAGCTGGAAATATTTTGTTTATCAAATAACTATATTATAATACAATGCAATGTAGGGTGTTTCAGAAAACCCTACTAATATTATATTTCACTTTTCATTAATTGTTTTTGGGGCTAAATCACATGCAAACATGATAATAAATTTATTCTAGCTTTTAGTATGTTATTAACACTACGGTTGCTATATTGCTTTTCCCAGTATTTTTTGTCTTAATTCTTTACTTTTATTCAACCAGGTTGAAACTTAGCATAGACAGTTGTTTAATCCACTCTTTGTAAATTATACGAGGGGACTCGTGTGCAAATTGAGCATTTTAATGAGGTTCAAAACTGATTTCCGAGGCAAAACTAATAATGGAATACCTTTTTACCTTACAAAGATTATGTTTGTATAAGACAATTATTAGGTGGGTAAAACTACAAATTTACAATAAATTAAATTTGTACTTCTAAATACTAGGCTATTAAAAATTAATTTTCACAAACTGTCTTGTCTTTTGTTATGACTACGGTTAAAAATTCAACTGAAGGATCAGCTGTAAGATTACAGTTCATATTTCTAAACAAATAAAAGTTGGTTAGCATTACTGAATCTTTGAAAGTGAAAGAAATCAAATGCTAGGGGGAAACCCCCTAAAAGAAATTACCTTTTTAGTTACCATCGTCCCTCCATTGAATCATAAGCTTTAAAATGAAACCTCGATTGTATAAATCGGTTAAGTAGAACGGCTACAAAAGGGATGTTACAGTGGAAAAATTGCTTATTGTATTAAGTATACAGATGTTAACTACTTCTAAAAATTTTCAATGATAGCAGTTAATGAATTTTAAAATTGGTAATTTGTCATGACATCAAAATGAACAAAATCATGAACAACTTGTATAGTTTAGTTTGCACCTAGGACCAAAATTATAACAAACAAATGTGATCTTTGTTGTTAGGTGTTGTAAACATAAACTCCAAATCGAACTTTCAATTTCAGCTGTGAACTTTGTAATTGATAAATTAAAGGAATCAAGAACTATCTTGCAGTACTGATTTCAAGACACTGTAAAATTGTGCTAAGCATGAATTTAATAACCTTTAAAAAAATGTAGAAACATAATATTATCTGGAAATTCAACTTACGGATATCATCTATGAACCTCCATTGTAAGATGGATAATGCTTCGATTCCATAGTAGAATCTTGATATGTACTTGACCCATTTCAAGTAAATTGGCACGGTGCTGAAGAAAAATAATTATATTTATCTTACTAGTATTATAAATGTGATCTTATCTTACTAATCTTATCTTACTAATATTATAAAATGTGAAAGTTTGTGTGTTTGTTTGTTTGTGTGTTTGAAGTTTAATCACGCATAAACCACTGGACGGATTGGGCTGAAATTTGGCATGATGATAGCTTACATTCCCGATTAACATATAGGCATATTCTTAACTCAAAAATCCTTTCGGGCTCCGCTCCAGTGGCTCTGTAATTACCCATGTTAACCTTATGGGTATTCATATTTAAAGGGAATTAAAGAATTTAGTCAGCTGTTTCAACTAAAAAAGTTGGTTCTATGATAAGGAAAAAGCATTAAAAAGTTATAAGATTTACCAACAGGGCGCAGCACTATATATTTTTTGCATTTATGAAAACAGCTAATTTGAACTAAGCAGCAACAAAAAACTGTGATTTGCAATGAGAACTGTCAAAGTAGGATTGTTTACAGTTATGTTTATGTTTTTCATTTCATGAGTAATTTGTGATATTTTGCGAATTGTTGATAATTTTTTTTCTCTCTATTGTTTAGGTGAAGTGGTAGAACATTATGGCTATGGTAGATGTGTAATACTATAGAATACTGTAAATTTAAAAAAGCAAATTTTATCAAACTGTGTCTTCCCTTATTGCAAACGCAAAGCTTGAGTATAACTGCAATAAGCATTTTATACTTATATTCCAACCCCGTACGAAGGACGGGTACTCTGCTAGTATACAGTATATAAGATCAATTGTAAGATAACACTATCATTGCACATTATGTTCAACATAATTTACTCCAGGATAAAACTGTTTCACCTGTTTACAGCTCGTGACATCTAAGCTGGCACTTTGCCTACCGTGGGCAGTGTAGACGGGAGGAGGGTGGAGGTAGGGAAAAGACCGGACTGGATACATTTCCGCTTCCTCACGGGGTTGACTCCCCTTGTATTATGTACTTGAGTGCCTTCATATGGGTCGCGAGGACAGTTTATGCAACCCGCATAATGGGACATAATGTTTTTGAAATAGGTACTAGTAGCGATCGGCCAAGTGCCAGCTTAGATGTCACGAGCTGTACTGAACAAGTACGCTTACGCTTAATTGCCTAAAAAGAGGCTGATAAAGTTGAAACTGCTGGTCACAACAGTATTCTTTGTTTGATAATCAATTTTGCTTATCAAATTCCCTATTTTAATTAGTGGACAAACCATGGTACCTTATGTGACAATTTACTACCTCACTTTGATTGTTCAGAAAATGTTCTCTTTTTCTAGAGTAACATAGCTAGAGCAAGATTAAGGTTTGGTTTAAAAATCTAGTACAGCAATTATCAAACTTACCTAATATGCAAAAATATTCCAGAGAAAGATATTGAGATGATGTCAAACGGAACTGTGAGTAGAGATGCAGATGAGACATTCTCAAACAATGCAGACATACAACATCCTGGAAAATAAATGTCAATGTTAGGGAATTCGCCTATACCCGTGCAATAAAATCAAACTAAATTAAGAGCCTTATTGGCAATTATTCACAAGCGAATTCATTTTGAATATTTTCTGTGTAATTTGAACAGATCAAATAAAAATGCAGTTCAGTGTGTCAGAGGGCTTATGATGTCACTGGCTGTATAGTCACTATGTGTAGATATTGATGTTTACCAACAGTCTCTGCACACTAGAGTTAAGTTAGAAAATGTCCTCACTACCTACAAAGGCAAAATTAGTGTAAACGGTATCATAGACTAACCAACACAAGTAGACTTCTCATCCCATTGTAAATTTTGAAGCTCGTTTTTCATGTCTAGTTCATGTACGCCACACTGGGCGCTAGAGTCGACGAAATTTTGTTTCTATTATTTTAGGGTTAATTTCTTTATTTGTGCTTTACTGTTTAGTTAAATAACTAGGGGGACAATTTATTGTTTATGATTAGATCGTATTATTTGGCTAAACGAGGTTTTAAATGACTGTATTAACGGGAAACAAATTGTAAAAAAACACGACCTCTACATAAACCGTACAGAACTAACAATAAAACTGTCTTCAGCTGTTCCATTAGAATGAGAAATCTACTAAGGGAGTATGTTTTATCTATGACGGTATTTTATCAATTTTTTTATTCATCCAAACCATTTAATTTAGCCATAGGTTTTATCAGATAGATATTATTAGTTGGTAACTAGTTCCATATGATAAATAAATATTCATACTTACCATATGCAGTGGATGTGATAGCGCTTGCTATGGTGGGGGAACAGAACAGCAGAAAACCTAAGGAGCCCCCCTCCACCCCGACTGTCATGAAGGCTATCAGGCAGAACATGAACGTCTCCAGGATAACTCTGGGGAGCTGAAACATGTGTCCAACATTGGATCAGCTGTTGGGTCTTTCCATTTCGAATTATTGCATAATCATGTTGGATAGTTTACGTTTCTAAGCATGAAGTGTCACCACATGATTTTTTAAGAAAATATCTGCATTTATTTCAATTTTATGTTTGCTCACTGTTCATCGCATACTTATACCAACAATGTCAACTTGATATACAAAAAATAGTTATCCTCTCTTGGTTCAAGAATTTACATGAAAACTATAAACACAATGCTGGTATTCGCTCCCTAGGGATAGTAGTATGGTCAAACACTACCAATATTTGAAAAGAAAGTATATAAAACCATAAACCAACCACAACCACAGCTTTGGAGAGGTAGTACGGCCCTGGTTGGTAGACTCCATTGTTGATCTCCCTCAACATGACGGCTATTTCTGACGGGAAGCAGTGCAGGATGGAGTAGGTCTGGCAGAAGATGGTCTCTGTTATGATGGAATAGTGAAACCCCTGCAAGCTCTGGATACCTGCTTGATCCAGCTGAACACTCATGTAAGGCAAACAAACCAGCAAGCCAACCATCTGTCAACACGAGCCAAATATTACAATGTTAAAATCTTGCTAAAATTAAGTTGCTTGCAAAAATTTGGCTATATGAGAATTGGGGATATTTGTTTTCTTCATTCTCTAACTAAAACAATTTGGACTCCTCAATTGGAATTGACAGGAGTAGTCACAATAGAGAAACGTGATAATACTGTACTTGATATTGGCGTTGGCTCTATACATGTAAAGTAGACATTCCATTCCAATTGTTTGAATACAAGGAAACGTTGGTCTACTGAGCCATTAACAGATACTTTATAGAGTGTTAAGGGTCTGCAGGACATCTACTCGGAAATCTCAGCTCGGGCTTCAGTAGCCATAATGCGCCATTGAACAGCGCCACGAGAAGCGCTTGCAGACGTTCACGGCAACTGCCTTTGTTAACTACCCATACATAGTAAGAAACAATGAGTGGGGTTTAACAGAACAAAGAACAATCTATATGCGTCTCTGGTTTTAATTTTAAAGTAACAATTTTATAATGAGTTAAAGCAGTTAAAAGTTGCCGTTTTTTGTCTACATCCAAAGAAGATTTTCAGGCTTTATGGTACGATATTAAAAATATTGAAACCCTTTGATTCTACATCAAGTGTAGCCTTCGGAAACATGGTTGGCCCAGACCCTTGCGTTTACACAAAACGGCAGAGGTAGGGCATCGTTTTCTTCCTTTATTGCCAACTTTTGTAATTATAACAAACTGATAGAGCAGTTTACTATAGCTTTTGAGTCTGTTATAACCCCGTCAACCATTATTGTGTGTAAAACTAGCAAAGAAAATTGAACTTATATAGTAGCAGCTCTTTGAGTGACTTTTTCAGCTAAAAATTTTAGGAGGGATCGTATTTCCAACTTGGTTTCAGTTCTGGTATCTCAATTTATAGAAATCAAGCTATACATAGGGACACAGAGAAGTTCATTTATGGTATATAATTCAGTAAATCACTCACCATATACAATATAAACCTGAGCAAGAGCTGTTGTCGATTGCGAATCATTCCAAGCGTTGACCTCCACAACAACCATTGGAATTGTGTTATCTGTTTTGGCTGCTGACTAACAAAACCAAGTGTTAAAACTATCTTTCAAACTATCTGTATATGATGATTTGTATTAAATAAAAACATTGTTTTGATAAATTTACTATTTATATATCAGTCTCTAAAATTAATACAGTAATGTGTATAAAATACAACAATTACAAAATTAACTTGTAAACTCTTAAAAACTATACTTGTTGTAAAAAAAGTTAAGAACATAATAGTATTTGTGTTCTAAAAAAGTCCATACAACCAAATCATCAATCCTGGTCCACAAAATAATGAAACTGATAGGATCTGAAAAAGCTATACAGGATCTCAAGTATCAATGGCTTAAAAATTCTAGAATCTCTATGTCCTCGTTTAGTATCTGTCCTTAAATAAAAACGGTATGCATGAAACCACTTAAATTTTTTTTTTTTAAGTACTTACACTGAATAGAATTTTAAAAATTGCTCATCCATCTGAAACAACAGAAATTTTTGTTTAAGTTACTTACACTGTCAAAAATTTAGAAAATATTAGGTACTTACAGCCCCAATGACTAAAAATCTAAACCTCTAAACCATTGGAAACAAGTCTGGTTCAAAAATGTTCCTCTATTTGTTACCGTACCCAATGAATGCTAATAATTACCAATTGTGACATAATAATCTCTGTAATATTCTTTTATCGATGAATGCATTAATATCCCAGCATTGGTTAAAATTACAATTCAATCCAGTTCAAGCTTTTCAAGTTTTTCTTTCACCATTTTCAAGCTTTTGCGAAGTAACTCCATTGATCATACAGGCTAGTAGACATCTCGTCATAATAGCCGAGCTTGCAAGGTTTGAGTGTATACTCCATTCAAACAGCCGTGGCACCTGACGGATTAGGAGACCCCATGGAAACCCTTGGGGCCTCCTAATCCCTCAGGTGCCACGGCTGTTTGAACGGAGTATAGTTTGATATTTATGGTATCTACAGAATTTGCTGACAGGGTGTATAGTATCTTATATATTAACAAACCCGACCGATTTTCATGATTGAGGTAGCAAATTGAAGATATGCACGCACAGATTTTACATCAAGCATAGGCATATATTTATCTATAATCCCACTCGGCTTATACATAAACAAAATTTGCTCCACATACATTTCTTATGGGAGTTAAATTAGTATTTTCTTTTCCGAGTTCGTTTGGCTCTTCTACCTGACTAATTTTCATGATTGAGGTCTCAAATTGAAGGCATGCACGCAAATATTTCACATCAAGCATCGGCATATATTTACCTACTGTATTACTCGACCAAAAAACCTTAGTGTTTCAAAAAAGGATTATTGTTCTTTATTATAAAATGTCACTGACGTTTGAAACTAAAAAAGAAAAACTACTACAAGCAAGAGGATATACCATTAACGTTAAAAGAAGAGTGTGATATCAAGGCCACACTAAAAAAACAGGCCGTAATGCTCGTCAAGCATGACGTCACGATAGAAGACGGCAATGACGTAATGTTTGTCGTTTGTGATCAGCTGCTTGTTTGAATCTTTCCTTGGAAAATAAATAAATAAATACCTACGTCATTGCCGTCTTCTATCATGACGTCATGCTTGACGAGCATTACGGCCTGTTTTTTTTAGTGTAGCCTTGGTGATATGTAGCTGATAGCAGCAAACTATTTGCTGTTATTTGATACCCTAAATACACCAAAACTGGCTTCAGATAATAACTGCCATAAGATGCTAAATCAGTCAACATATAAATACCAAAACCATATGCCAAAAAGGAATAGGTTTATAGTGGAAACTAATTGTATTAGGGATTGTATTTTGTTATTTTTAATTTCCTATCCACCCAAACATACTTTGTTAAAACATTAATTATGAATACTTACTCCAAAAATAGATAGAGTTTTGTTAGAACTTGCTCTGATGACCTCCAATTCCTTTACTAGTTCTTCATGAAGGCTCGATGCACTAAACCTTTGGCTCAAATCTTTGGTAACTTCAGGACTAGCATTAAGCTTGTCAAGGTAGAAGTCAGCTGGGTTATAAAGCGGAGGACACACCATGCCTAAACTGTGAACCAATATGGGTTTTTTAGGTTATGTTCCAGTTATACATATCTTCTGGGTTGGTAAGTTTTAGGTACGGTATTAAATGTATCAGCCTGAGATTATTTTAACAGGTATATTGGGTCACCCACCCAAAATTGTCATGAACTTAGAATACTAAACGTACTATAGAAATTCTATCTAAATAAACTCTCATTTGCAGAGAGCACAGTGCAAGCCTCTCATAAAGAGTGATGATCTCAGTGATTGCTACTTTATCTATTTGTTTTACTATGGTAGTTTGGAGGGATCAAGTTCAAAAAGATATTAGAAGATTGGGAAGAAGTGAAAATGAAGTTTGAGAAAGAGACACCTGGAGGCAGTGCGTGGGTGAGGCCAAGTACCTCTTAAGGCACCAGTGGCCAATCCAGTAAGTAGTAAGTAAGTAGGTAGTTTGGAGACATCCTCTCTGTTCTTTCTTTTAGTTTGGCATCATTATAAAAAGTTAATAAGAGAAAGGAATAGAATTTTGTACCATTACAAACTATTGATCCATTCAAACTTTGTTTATACATAATGGTTAAATACATACCTTTGGAAGTATTCCTGTGTATTTGCGACATCTCCAAAGTATGCCAATGATCCGCCCGGTAACAGCAGACAAACTTTGTGAAACGTTGCGTAGACTTCGGACGAAGGTTGATGAACAGTGCATATCACGGTTTTACCTGCAATCAATATTTATTCTAGTTTGCAAGTTCTATAAAGCTATCCCAGAACCAACATTAGTTTCATGTTGGTTGCATAATGAAGCTAGCAATAATTAGTACGTTGTAATACATCTTATTTTGACAAATGTAGTAGAAAAGCAGAATTGTTGTATTTTAGGCTCAGATTTAAATCGTACATCACCATAGCTGTTAACTCTATAAATGATATGATGCCTACATTAATAAGGATCTGCTTAACAAGGTATAAAAACAGACCTTCGAAGAGAGCAGAACTGTCTTTGTATAAAATTTTCCCAAACAAAATTCTCACCATAATGTAATGGATTTATTAGTACTGTAGTAATGAACTGTAAGTTTATGTAAGAATTTCAACTTCTTAGTTGTGATTTGAGTTTTTTGAAAGTATTTTGAAAAAAATAAGGTCCAACAAAAGTAATGTTGTAATGTTGTTGTGTGTACTAATGTTTTGTAAAGTGTTGTATTGTAACTGTACCTCTGGATGTGAGGGTTTGCAGGACGTTAACCACAGAAGATGCATTGTAACTGTCCAGGCCTGTCGTCGGCTCATCACAGAACAGAAGGGGAGGGTCTGTCAACATCTGTAACATTCACCACAACATAACCTCAGTGACAAGACCACAAGAACCTTGATCATGGATAAAACTTGTGAATCTAATTTAAATTAGTTAGCCAATCAATCACCTATTTTATTTCTACGTTTTTGTCAAAATTGGTCACAGTGCAACTAATCCATCCATGTGTATTGGATGTATTGATAAAACTGACTTTAGGAACAAGAAAACTTCGATAACAAGTCTAATTTAATGATGTTTAAAGAAGTCTTCCTGTGATGGGTAACTTATAACACAAAGAAGGTGGATATTCAACATGTGCAATTTAGGTGTTTGGTAAAACATCTATGCTGTCTTGGTTGCAGTTTCTGATACTTTCTGAATAAAAGTGTTCCTACCCTGCGCTCTGCTTGATTGAGCATGGGCGAACTATGAACCATATCTGCCAGATTTTGGGTCTTACATCCCAGTGTGCTGAAAACCTGACAAACGTTACGTAAAATGCATCATCTTGTCTGCAAGCAAACTGTTGAGGAAGATATCCCCCAATACCATGGGTGCTTTCCCTTACCTTAGTTTCCTTTGTACAGATAAACAATAGATTGTCTGTATTTACCAGACAGACTGCCTAAACTTTCTACATTATAGATACTAAAGCGATAACTCTCAGGTGACCAAAACCAGGGACCTGTTGAATTTTTAAATTATGCTTGATCTGTTTATTATTACTCTTATGCAGTATAAAACAATATGGGTTGTTATTCTGGAATTCAACCTCCATTTTATTTTCAATCCTTCACATTAAATTATGAAGAAATATAGTTGTCACATTTTATTACCTATCCCTAAAATATCCAAAAAATTCTGTAGTACAGTACACTACCTGTGCAGCTAAAGACAGCCTTTTCCGTTCCCCACCAGACAGTGCTGATATCTGTGTGTAGCTGCAAGACGCAAGGTTCAGGTCATTTATGAGTTTGAAAATGATACGTTGTTGATGACTGCCAGACACTCTCTGATCCAGTTTCAATGATGCCTGAAAATAAATTTAAATTTCTGTGAATAAACTTGTATTGTTTCTTTGTAAATGGAAAAATATATTATATTTGCATTACACTGGTTCTAAACTTAGTAGTTTTAGGTTGAATATGATCACGAAAAACATTTATAATAAATCAAATTAATTTAAAATCTTTGTCAGTGGAAATGGACTTGATTTAGTCAGTGGTCGACTCATATGACAAGTCTAATCAACTCAACCCATCACTAAAATGTTCTGTAATGTTAGATAGTTAGAGGCGGGTTTGGTCTAGTGGTGAGAGTGTGTGGGTATTCTGTCCTTGAAGTCTAGCTGGCTTCAAATATTGCCAGTCATCAATGGCTGTTAGTATGGCTGGCTGTGATAGTCGTTTAGGTTGTCCATAACACTCTTTTAAGCTGTAGATCCACATCCCTTGAGAACAAAAGGATAGGTCTCTAATCTCAGACAAAAAGAACTATTTTGTATTGGAGAACACTCTTGACTACAATCCAAGTATGATAACTTTTATTTGTATACCTTTGAATAAGGGAGAATTACCATAAATGTGAGATGTTCCATGACTGTAAGACAGCTTAGAGCCAAATCCTGTTGAGGAACAAATCCGGATATTTTCACCATCAACACTCTGTCCACTGCTCGTCCATTCAGCAACACGTTCCCACTCATATTCCCTGGAAAAGTCAGAGATTATTGCCATCCTTCATAATGGTTTTGATATCAAAACCGAGTGCTAGTCACTTCTTTCCTTTTTAAAATGTAAATGATCATAAACATAAGTTATCAAAGTATTCCAGCTATTTTATGTAGATTTAGGGTTCAAATTTGATTATGGCTTGCATACTATGTATTTTATTCTCTATGAACTGACCTTATCAATAATACCTTTTATTTTTGTAGCAATTGTTGATTATTAACATTAACCTAATACAGCATAAATTACGACTATAATATTTACCTGTGGTTCTCTGACTGAGTGCTGCCAGAAGGGTAGTTTTTCCTGCTCCGCTGCAAACAAGTTTTACATCATACTTTGGTCACAAAAACAGTATGACTTAGGACTTAAATTTGTTTAGATTTTTATTTGAATTGTTACAGTTTGTTTAATATCTTTACCATATTAGGTTTTTAATTGCAATACAAAATGACTATTGACTATGACAGTTACAAATTGTCCATAACTTTTATGTTTTTGTTTCCCATACTACTAATACAAAAACATACAAAACCTTGGTCTTTAATCAATTTGGTTTGTAACCTAATCTTATGGGCTTTTTATATTTCTTTGTCTTCGTGTATTTTTTTATGAGTTCAAAACTGACTCATTGCAATTACACAATCACCAACAGCCTGACAGTTTATCAGAATGTAACATAATACTTTCAACTACACGTGTGTTCATGGATCATTTACAGCGGTTGCAAAATCCTTGTCCTCACCTCGTGTCATTTGATTTCACGTGTCAAATAATAAAAAGTTGCAGCAGACATAAGATATGATGATAATTAACAAAGTTACCACTAACACCTTCTCAGTCTAACAAATTTTTAAAGATAAAACAATTGTATTGTCTTTTTAGAGAATTAAATTGAAAATACCAAAATTTGTTTTAATTTTTTGTAAAATGGAAGCTTTGAAGCAAATTGTAAAGCAACTTATTCAAAAACCAAAATGTATAGCTGGTCTTTGTTGTTCTCTGTACTATGTAACTTAATAATCAGTTATTTTTTTATTTTGCAATTTTCTTTTCTTCTTAAGTGATTAATTATTAAAATTTTTGCAAATCTTTACATGGCAAAAATAAATTTTTATACATTAGACTTCAAGCCCTGGGCAAGCAAAATCTTCCATAATAATTACCTTGGTCCCATGATCGCCAAAAGAGTGCCCGATTTAGCATACCCTCGGACTGAAACATTTGGATACATTGAACTATTTTTTGTTGGATAGATGTTTGATCATTTTTTCTTATAATAATACCATTGTATAGTTAAAACATACACTAACTATTAGGTTGCAAAACCTAATACAGAACTCTTCCGTTCCTCCATAGGTACTCAGTTAGCAAAAAACTCCTATAGTGGAATATAACTTAATTAATTGACCAAAACTTAAAACTTTAATTTCGCATATCTTTACACTTACATAATGCTCCTAAAACTCTTTAGACAATTTTCATCACTCACTTACGATTTCATGAATTTGTTTTTAACCCTTTGGGCACAACATTATTTGCTACCAAATAAGAGACACACTACTATGATTTATTATTTCACAAATGTATACACTAAACTAACAGTTGATAGAATATTTTATCACTAGTAATGTAATATCATTGACTTCGCTAGACTACAGTGAAATGGCCTGTTTTCGTTACATGTTTATCACCGGAAATCCATCATTACATTGTTTCCTAGGCAAAAGAATGTTTACTAATACTATGCGAAAGTAATATTTACTATCTTTTTGGATTTTGCCGACGTAAACAAACACAGATTTGTTATTGTTTTGTCAACTGTTTTAATTTTCAACAACCAAAACTGTACAACCAAAGGAAATATTAACTGTTTTTAATATTGATGCTATAATCTGAAAAATGCTATGAGTTTTGTAATGTTCAAGCCAATATTTATTAGTCTTTGCACATACATATTCTCATTCTCGACCATTTTAAAGTGCTCGATAAATTTTGCACTTCAAACATCGTCTCAAATATGTAATGACTCACTTTATACTCTTGTTATGAAATATACTATTAAATTAATATGTACAAGTTTACCATTGTTGAGCAGTGTGTGGTGTCTGACGGTGTCAGGACCCAGGAAAGAGCGTGTTGTGGTTGTTACTGTGAGGTCCTGAATATCCCAGCTGAGCACCAAGTCATCCCCCATACTGTAATAAACAAAAATGCTATTTTGATTTTTATAATAAAAACATCCTTTTTTTGTTTATATTTATTTCCTGTTTTTAACACTATCTTTTGTTTATTGTTTGGTTGGGTTTACTTTTATGATATTTTTTATTGTTTTTGTTTCTGTTTTAACCTGTATCTGCTATTCATGGTTTTTGCTTTTAACAGCTTCAATTACATCTCCTGAATTTCTTTCTCTGTTCTCTTTCTTTTTCTTTTGTGTTTGCTTTCCTTTTTGATTATTTTTTATTTATCTGTTACGTTTGTTAAAAAGTTGATTAGTTCGTAATTTACCTTTAAGTATAACTTGGATTAGGCCTAGACTTAATTCAAATCCTGTTGTTATGGATCCATAATGCATTTTCTAATTAATCTATTGATTGATTATCACAGTAGCTGTTAGATTCTAGTTACCGGTATAAAAAAGTAGTTATACAGGGTGGGGCAATGAAAGCGCCCCAATTTATAAATAGTACAAACTCAAGAATATTCACCCTATAAATAGCACATCAAAACACAGCTTATCTTTTGCCATTTTAACTTAACAAAGTCATTTTTCAATTTCTTGAGAACGAAATCCTGCAAGTGACGTCCTTGTCCTACTTGACATTAGGCACTTGAAAACGCCATCAAATACTCCTCCAGCATTTCTTCAGGAATCACTTTAGTTTTTGGACAATTCTTAGCTTCGGTTTGAGCAAATCTGTGAGGTGACTTTGAAAACCCTCGGCCCTCGAACCTCAAGTAGCATATTAGAACATACATACATAGCTTATTAGAACATCGGGATTAAAAATGCCTCCATTGTACAAGCTATCCTAATGGCGGCACACGTATTCGGCTCCAAATCTGACCACCGCTGTAAGGTTAATCAGGTGTTACTAATCTCACAACCCAACCTGGCTCCGACGCAGTTTTGAGGTAGGCGAGCTGGGTTCCCCCTCCACAACACTAAACATACACCCCTCATTCTCTTCTTTCCGTACCTCGAACCCTAGACATACCCCTCCACAACGCTCTTTTTTCTCTTGCTCCCTGCAACCCTAGGCAAGGCATATCTTCGTCATGACTCATTTGGTTAGGCTTTGGAATAATAATGAGCGGTGGATCCAGAGTTATCTTCCCGATGTCACCAGTATTGCTTTACGAATCTCACTTCTTACAATTGTGTAATGGAAAGAAATTGTTGAAATGTACTTCATATCTAGATAATAATAGTTATTTTAAGAATCGAGAATATGAGAACATGGGCTAATCTATAACATATTCTTGACAAAGTCTCAAATTTAAATTTAGTTTACTCCTAGGCCGCGTTTAAGAGGAGTTTCACATTGAAACATGTTGCAAAAATATTGTTTTTAATATTTTTTATGAATTAAAATGCTGTAAAACCTATTCTGATCATGACTCCTTCTGATTTGTTTTTACTTCAATTTAGGTAATAACTGTTAAAATTAATAGAATGTTTTAATTCAACAACGTACTCCTGTACTGAATGTTTTTAAATTAGGAACGATATCGATTATAAACAAACAAATGACCCTAAAATAAACATTTTTGTATTATTATTTCAATGCAACGGTCAAAAAACCTCGAAAACACATGTATATAGTACTAGCAGAGTACCCGTCCTTCGTACGGGGTTGGCAAATAAGTATAAATGCAGTTATACTCGATCTTTGCGTTTGCAATATGAGAAGACACGGTTTGAGAAAATTTGCTCCCTCAAATTTACGGTATGCTATAGTATTACACATCTACCAGACCATTATATTCTACAACTTCACCTACACAATAGAAAAAGATAGCTTATTACAAATTCGCAAATTATCACAAATTATTCATGAAATTAAAAACTTAAACATAACTGTAAACAATTCTACTTTGACAGTTCACATTGCGTATCACAGTTTTTTGTTGCTGAAAAAAATAGTGCTGCACCCTGTTGGTAAATCTTATACATTTTTTATGGTTTTGCATATCATAGAACCAACTCTTTCAGTTGAAACAGCTGGCTAAATTTTTTAATTCCCTTTAAATATGAATACTCATAAAGTATACATGTCGAAATGCAGAGCCACTGGGGCGGAGCCCGAAAGGGGTTTTGAGATAAGAATATGACTATATGTTAATCGGGAATGTGAGCTATCATCATGCCAAATTTCAACCCAATCCGACCAGTATTTTTTGAGTTTACTTGTCACAAACATACATACAGTACATCCATACATCCAAACTTTCTCATTTATAATATTAGTAGGATTAGATTCCATCCAGTGACGTTAATTCTTTTTAGTTTTTGACCCATGTACCGTGTCTGTTCTCTTTTTAGTTTTTGACCCATGTACCGTGTCTGTTCTACTATCCGTGGACGATCCCATTGTTGCGACGTTCAGCGATCCAATGACCACATTTCTCTACAAGAACAAGAGAGCGCATGATATTCGCAACTCGCAACAATGCTGGTTAACGTGGTTAACAGATGAGAAGTAAAATATATTCACGAGTTTGTTATTGAGCTTTATTGTAGATAGTTTCAATATTGACTAGAGAACCCATGCTGCTCCGCAGCGTTAAAATAAATATAATATCCGAGAAATCGTCAAATTTACGATTTCTGATTGAGTAATACAGTATCTTGAGCTTAATTGATTCTGACGATCAATAGCACAAATTAAAGCCTATAATTTAGTGATTATTTTGAGTATAAAACATATAGAAAAACATGAGCAATACTGGAGCTAATGATTGTTAATCATATAAAAACCTTATGAAAATTCATTTTTATGTTGGTTGTTCACCTTGCGTTTGTTTAAAACTCGTCCTATATAATAACTAATACCTTGAATGAAAGCCAGTATTTCACTGAAGGTTCTTAAACTAAAATATATAGGATTATAAAATGATAACTGGTGAAGGATGTACATCTTAAATTGAAATACAAATTAGAAAATAAATGAAATTATGTGTTTTGATCAAGTAATACTGTAGGTAAATATTTGCCGATGCTTTATGTGAAAACTTGTGAGCATGCCAACAATTTGAGGTCTCAATCATGAAAATCGGTCGTTTAGAAGAGCCAAACGAACTCGGCAAAGAGAAATCAAATTTAACTCCCATAAGAAATAAATGCAAAACTGATAAAAAATCGCAATATTGTGAATGAGTTGTAATAATAGTTATAGTTAGTATTGTCTATCCCTTCGTCTTGCAGCTTAACATCTGCAGCGGGAGAATTTAACTTGCGTTGCCTTCATTCACATTTGGTTAGTAAAGCTCGGTGCCCAATTATTTTAAGGGAGGTATCGTGAGGACATGGAAAGTTTGAGCCTGGAGGGGTAAGGAGAAAGTAGTGGAGGTGGAATGGGTAAGAGGGGTGGCTGGAGCCAAGTTGAATACTGTCATGGCGGCGGGCGAAAGGTTCAGAGCTAGAAACGTGTTTTTTTTTTATAACATATTAAAGTTGGAGCCGAATTGAAGAACTCCCATCCTAATTTGTTTCTAATGATTGTGTGTTTTTTGTGCTCTTAACATATCAGAGCTTGCAATGGATGGGGAAAATTAATTTTTAACTATTACATTAATTTAGAAGTTAAATTCACATGTGAAAAAGACTAATTTACGGATTTTCAAAATGATTTTGTTAATACTTAAAGAAACAATTACGAAGTTACAGTTCATCCAGTGCATAGTTTGGATCTCTGTGAATATTGTACAGTTTATTTCAACTCGATAATCACTTGAATAATGCCAAGATGTTCTTTTATGTTGGACCATGTTTCCGCGGTAAGCAGCTGCGGGTGGAACCCTCTTTCATACCTAGCAAACTTGGCGTTGTACATCAACTTAGATCGGGTTAGAAAACTTTCTAGTACTTTGCTGATCTACTTATTGGTACTAATGCCTTATGAATATTCCGAATCGATCAATCTTAATAATTACCATCTACGGCAAGTTTAATCTCACTTCTCGCTTGTAGTAGTTTGCATTTAAAAGGTAAGTCGTCTCGTCTCTATATGGCTCACGCAGTGCTTATATAATTACTGAATTACTCATTAGCATATTATGAAATGTCCTACTGTTCAAGTATACATTATGTGTGTACAGGATCCTGAAACTGAATCATTAAATACAACTCCAATATAAATCAAAATCAAAGGATTCCCGTAAAAAGTTATATTAGAATATATATTGCTAAACTTTGGTTACCATACATAAGTATATCATATACAGTACCATAGTGAAAATAAATTGTTGCTCAAAATTATCAATTATTTAAGATGGAGACGCCACTATGTGTGTATTTTAACCCAAATATGAGTGAAGGATGGGTTAGTATAGGATGAGTGGCGCGATCTTGCAGTCTTGTTAGTGACTATGGCCGACATGCTCCTAAGAAACAACTGAACACTAGACTAGTACCTGTTGCTCGAATTCGAGCAATTGCTAAGTATAACAGACGTTATTTTAAAACGAATAATCATAATTTTTGATTACATAATTTCCACAAATAGCCTTACTCATAGCCAGGTTGTCCATAATAACGATTATAAATTCTTAAAAAACATTATTTCTATTTCTTCTCCTTGGTGGTGTTCTATGACTTTCCTATGTTTCCATAGTTTACAAATCAGCTCTTTAAATGATTACTAAGAAATGCAGTACAGTGTTAATTCCGTTTTCTGTTTAGTATATCAAATTATACAGGCTCTCTTGCTTTTTCCATTGTAATATTTACGCCAACCCTAATTCAAATAGTTAGTATTTCATTTCAACCAAGTCAGTAAATGTGTGTAACAAACTCCTCGTTACACCACCCCTGGCTTAAGTCTGGGACTTATTTGTCAGGCCAGTTCCCCGTAAAAAACTTTCTTTCTTTTTAGGCTTCAGCCACTTTCAATCCTCGTCCAGACACATTATGTGTCCAAAAGCTTAACACGATGACTTTCTTCCCCATACCGCCTTGAGCGATAGGGATCAT